TCTTATTTTAGTGTCTCCCTCTTTATTTATACATCACACTGAAAGAGTGCACTGAAGGATTACTCCAACCAGTGATAGATTCAGAGGATACAGGCCCCTTTTCCTGCAACAGGGACCTCCCCTGATATAAGGGGTCACTTTTTAATCTCTATTTTCTTAGTTGCTCTTGCCCCTAGGTAACATGGGAAACAAACAAGAAGAATTCGAATTCCTGGCACAATCGAGGAACTAAGATATGAAAGGATATAAATTGTTCAGGAAGGACAGGTGGGGGAGTAAAAGTGGAGGAGTTGCACTGTATGTAAGAGAGCTGAACATTTTCTCAGAGCTCCACCATGAAACTGGAGAAAATCTGTTGAGAGCCTTTGGGTTACGATTAGAGGCAAGAACAATAGGAGTGATGTCAAGATGGGCATCTGCTACAGATCACCAGACCAGGAGGATGAGGTAAATGAGGCATTCTTTGAAGAACTAACAGTTTTCTAGATCACAAGCCCTGATTCTCATGGGGGACTTCAGTCACCCTGACATCTGCTGGGAGTGTGATATAGCAGTGCATAGGCAACCCAGGACATTTTTGGACAGTGTTGAGGAAAAGTTTCTGTTGTAAGTGCTGGAGGAACCATCCAGAGAGTCATGCTCCTTTTGACCTACTACTCACAAATGTGGAAGAATTGATAGAGGAAGTAGTAATAGGGAGCAACCATGGCAGCAATGATCATGAAATGGTTGAGTTCAGGATACAGAGAAAAGGAAGAAAGGAGAGCAGCAGAATATGGACCCTGGATTTCAGAAAAGCAGACACTGACTCCCTCAGATATTGGATAGGCAGGATCCCCTGGAGGTTAATAAGAGGGAGAAAGGGATGGAAAGCTGGCTGTATTTTAAAGAAGCCTTATTAATGGTGCAGAAATAAGCCATCCCATGTGAAGAAGGAATAGCAAATACAGCAGGCAAGCAACTTGGCTTAACATACATTTGTGATGAGTTTAAATACAAAAAGGAAGCTTACAAGTAGGAGGAATGTGGAAAGATGTCTAGCAAGGAATATAAAAAAACATTGCTTGAGCTTTCAGGGATGTAATCAGGAAGGTCAAGCACAGCTGGAGACGCAGCTAGAGAGGAATGTGAAGGATAAAGAGAAGAGTTTCTACAAATATTTAGCAACAAGGTGCTTAGGGAATGGGGGACACTTACTGAAGGGAGAAGGCAACTTACTGACAGATGATGTAGAAAAAGGTGAAGTACTCAATGCTTATTTTACTGCTCTGGGCAGAACAGTATGGAAAGCAGGTGAGCAGTCCTCAGTGGTGAAAGAACAGGCTAAGAACTGTTTAGAAAATCTGGACATACACAAGTCCATGAGGCCAAATCTAATGCATCCAATGGTGCCACAAGAGTTGGCTGATGTGATTTGCAGAGCCATTAGTGCAGAGCCATCAGCCATTATCTTTGAAAACTCATGGCAGTTGGGGAAGGTCCTGGACAATTGGAAAAAGGCAAATGTAGTGCCATCTTTAAAAATGGGAAGGAGAACTGGGGAACTACAGATTGGGGAAACTTAGTCCCTGGAAAAATCATGGAGTAGGTCCCCAAGGAATCCATTTTGAAACACTTGGAGGAGAGGAAGGGGATCAGGAACAGTTAACATGGATTCACCAAAGGCTAGTCATGTCTGATGAACCTAATTGCCTTCTATAATAAGATAAAGGGTTCTATGGATATGAGGAAAGCAGTGGAAGTAATATGCTTTGTCTTTAGCAAATCTTTTTTGCTTTCTTGACAACAAGTTAAACTATGGGATGGATCAAATGGACTATAAAATGGACAGAAAGCTGGGCAGATTGTTGCACTTAACGGGTAATGAATCAACAACTTGATGTCTAGTTGGCAGCCATAATCAAGCAGAGTGCCTCATGGGGCTTGTTTTGTTTAACATCTTTGTTAATGATCAGGATGATGGGATGGCCTACACACGAGTTCACAGATCCCACAAAGCTGAGGGGAGTGGTAGATATGATGGAGGTTTGGGGCAGCATCCAAAGTGATCTAGACAAATTGCAGGCTTGGACCAAAAGAAATCTCATTCGGTTCAACAAGGACAAGTGCAGAGTCCTGCACTTAGGATGGAAGAATCCCATACATTGCTACAGGCTTTGGACTGCTGGGCTAAGCAGCAGTTCTAAAAGACACAGACCTGGGGATTACAGTACACTAGAAGATGGATATGCTTCAACAAAGTGAGCCCATGTTGCCACAAAGAGATTTTGGAACAAATTGACAAACTAAATAGTAATGTTACCAGAAACAGATAGCATTTTCATAAGAGTTCTAAAAGAACTCAAATGTGAAAATGCAGACTTGCTAATTGTGGTTTGTAACTTATCCTTTAAATCAGCTTCTGTACCAAGTGACTGAAAGATAACATAATTGGTTGCAAAAGGGTTAACATGATTTTTGTAAAGAAAAATCATGCCTCACCAATGTACTAGATTTCAATTAGCCTCATTAACACAGGCACTATAATTAACAGGGCTTTTTTTTCCTTTTCCCTCTCCCTACTTTTTCTTTTACATATTCTGAGGGTCTCCATTTTTTTCTCCACTCAAACTCATCTGAAAAAGTAGGTTTTGCCCATGAAAGCTCATGATACTATATATAATTTGTTAGCCTCTAAGGCGCCACAGGACTATTCGTTATTAAAGTTACAAAGTAATACAGCTACCCATCTGAGACTTTTGATAAAGTTAATGTAATCTGAACAAACTCTTCAATTCAATATCCGTTTTTGCCATTATTGTACATTTTAATAATATTTTGTGGTGAATTTTGTTCTAAAGTTTCAGTTTAGTAGACTTAAAACATTTACAATTCTGCCACAAAGAAACAAAAAAGGCCAAGTCAGTCACTTGTTTGTGTTTAGCTGCTGCAGAAATGGGAGAGAATAGCACAGGTTAGTCCTAATTCTAGAGCTGGTCTGACATCAACACTAATGCTTACAAATAAGATAAACAGTTCTCTTTGCCTTGTGGCTGGATGGAAAGACACTGTTTACCAAAATGGAAAGAGATCATATTCAAAAATTGTTATGTAGTTGCTTTCAAAAGTGATTTATTTTAATACTTAAGAAAACATACTAGCATTTCATCAAATCATTTCTATGAACTTACATTGTATGGAAAACTAGAAGATTTACCTGGCATTGCTCAGATACTTCAGGACAGGAGGCTGGAGGTGTGTGGGGTGCTGGAGTCAGGACAAGGTTGTGGGGTGCAAACCAATGTAAGTGGTTTGGGAGATGTAGGTGGACTCAAGGGGGGGATTAGGAGTTAGGAGTCAGAGCAGGAGATGGGGGTGGCCAGCAATCGATCCGGGAGCTGGCCCGAGGTGGCAGGGGCCACCCTGGCTGGCCTGCCAGCAGCTCTGCTCCCTGTGACCTGCTCAGGGTGGCAGGGTCTGTTCTGCCCGGCAAGCCAGTGGCCTTGCTTCCCAGGGCTGGCCTAGGATGGTGGGGTTTGTGCTGCCTACCCCTGGACTAGCCCAGGGCTGTGAGGATGGTGGAGATGTGCTTGCTTGCTGTTCCTCTGTGGTCATTCTGAAGTATAAATGTCCTGGCAGTCACAGTCCTCCCTTCCCATTTGATGAAAAACAAATCACATTCCACACACCTCCCATTGGCCTGGTATAACCAACCCTTGACCTTGCTTTAAGTTATAAGAGGAAGCTGCATACCAAATTTGGTGGTCCTAGCTCTTAACATTTAGGAGGCATTCTTGAACAAACGGTTCCATAGATGGACAGAGAGAGAGAGACACACACAAACCCTCTCAAATATATAGTAGATTAGTAAGCCAGCTGCAGTCCTCGTAGGCGGGTGTGGGAAGTATGCCATTACTTCCCTTTTCCAGTCTAAGCACTAGCCATTAGTATTTATTTGCTTGTTGTTAAGGATAGTTCTCTCATAGGTTCACCTGTATTTCTATTAGGCAGTTTTTTGATGCACCCAATCTTTACACTTTGTTCTTAGAGAGTATTCACACACATATCATATTATGCAAAATATTTAAAAAGTCAATCCATATTTTAACACAGTAAAATTTCCCTGAGGAAGCCAACTACCTTGAGTAGTCAGCCTTTGTTCTTACATAAGCATTCCTTTTTTCTACTAATACAGAAAAATTTCACACTTTGTAGTCTAGTTTGCACAAATGACAAATAAAAGCAGCTGTAAGAAGTCACTGAATAATAACTGCTACTTAATCTGGTCTATTAAAACTATGGTTTTAGTGCCTGGATGTAGATCAATGCTTCAATAATCCATAGGCTCCAAAAAAAACAGGAACTGAATGAGCAGGAACCACTTACCTATTTATTACTTCGGTCTTTGTACCAAACTGTTAAAGTGAAATGGCACATAGCAACCTCCTCATTTAACTAAACTCCTGTTAATGATCCCAAACAGACTCCAATCAATTCCATAATAGTAGTTTTATTAAGAACCAGAAGACACAGAAATAAGGAATCTTCAGCAGTGCTTAATTTATAATGTAAAAGGTGCCAGGGCAAAAGAAATTTTACTTCCATACAGGGGCAGATGACCATTTCGGGGGGCCCAGAGCAGCGTAATTTCATGGGCCCCCCCCTTTGCCACACTGCATGCGTGGGGCTTCTTGAAGCGCGGGGCCCGGGGCGGCCGCCCCGCTCGCCCTACCCTATATCCAACCCTGCTTCCATAACTGACGTAGGAACCCCAGAGGTAATGAGATTATGAACTATCAAGCCTACAGATACTAGGGTGCAGCCCTGGCATGTCCTTACAAATTAAGCACTTATATACAGTAATTCCACCAAAGTAAAGACTTTGCTGATGTTGAAAAATGTTCATTAGTAGCAGATAGCAAAACAAATTTCATTAGCAAAAGCGAAGGAATGTAACTGGAAGATTTCAATCTCATACTTAAAATGTATTAAGTGAATAAAAATTAACCATTGTAACTTACACCTGTTGGCTGAAAAATCAGTCCATCAACTTCATGACTGACTTCTCTGGCAAAATTTCCTTCAAGAAGCTGTAAAACAGATGAAAACAAAAATAATCTTTCCAATGTAGAAGAGAGTTTTCAGCTGAAAGATTCCACATTGATACAAGTTTCACAGTTTTTCCAGTAACCTATTTTTTTAATAAATAGAATAGCATTTAAACCTTGGGTACTGAATCTGGCCAATATAAAAAATACAATGAAAAACCAGACATGGTAGAATTAAAACAACATATTTATAAATAATACTCAGATAAAAGTAGCAGGGCTGCTTCAAGATAGTTCCAGTTTGAGAAAAACATTAGGGTTAGAAAAACATTAGGGTTGGAAAATATGATGATTCTATATACTGCAAAAGAATACTGGTAACACAAAAGCTGCTCAAGGATGGGAAAAGTCAGATTTCCACAAAAATGCAATTAGTAAAGTTGCTATTTTAAATATATGAAGTACTGCTCTTTTAAAGATTATTAGAGGGCTGTGCTCCATGCTTGCTACGCCACTAACCCCCCTTTCTGACGTCATTCTGTTGCACAGCAGGAAAAACTTTTTTATATATAGAGACATTATGTTTGAAAATAAAACAAATCTTACAATGATTATACGCAAAGTTTTTATAAAGCAGAATCCTTAACTTACCCAGTAAATACTACTGCACTAACTAAAGTCACCATCTGAATTAAGAGAGGTTCTGTAATGTGCATCAAGCAGATTCTGACTTCTGTTGAGTTGAACATCAAGATTTATCCAGTTAAGAGAAATATTTATCAAGACAAATGAAGGGGTCAGTATTTAAATCAAGTAATGGCATAATCTCAATATCTAACTAAATACAGTGAAACCTTTGTAATCCGGCACGCTGTTAACCAGAAAACTTTGTTATCCAGCATTGCCCCCAGCCACAATATTGTCACATCTTCAGGCGCACAGGCCTGGCTTGGTTTACCATGATTGGCTTAATTTTTTTATTTAAGAAATACTAATCATCTTTAACTCAAAATAGAAATGTGAGACCAAATGCCTCACACTACAAAACTACCAATATTAAAAACTTGAGATTTACTATTATTGTCCATTGTTTTTTCCCAGGTTGATGGGACCCTCAGATAACTGGAATTTTTAGATAACCGGAACACCCTAATCTCTGAGCGTGCCAGATAACACAGGTTTTACTGTATGAAGTCTCTGGGAACAAATGACTTATCGGAAGTGGAGAGTCACTATAAATTGTGAAAAATCAGGCCAGTTATATAGGTACTTATTATTTAATTATAAGCTTTAATTCTCTACAAATATCCTATGCTGTCGGCTCCATCAGTAATGTTTGAAAAATAAATTAATAGATCAGTCAAATTATCTCAAGATCAGATAGCACAGCAAAAACAGACATGGCAAGTGTGACTAATTTAAGAAACTCCGAAAATTTTGGTCCAATAGTGCTTCTCTTGCAATGGCTGCCTTTAAATGACTGGCACTACTCAGTAACTAAGGGTATGTCTACACTACAGCACTAATTCGAACTAACTTAATTTGAATTAGTTAATTTGAACTAAGCTAATTCGAATGAATGCATCTAGACCTAAAAACTAATTCGAATTAGCGTTTTGTCCACATTGAGTGGACCCTGAACCGAAGTAAAGGCTGGCCGGAACCAGTGTCAGCAGGGCATCAGGTTAGGACTTAGTGTGTGGAGCTGCAGCCTCAGGCTAGCCAAGGGCTGTGCTTAAAGGGACCCGAGCCCCCACCCCACACAGACAGTTCTCAGGGTTCCCCGCTTGCTGATCTACCTTGCTGAGGGACAGCAAAGCATTTGTGTCTTTGAGGGCTCTGCTTGCCCTCACTCGGGGCACCACGGCACTCTGCAACATGGAACCAGACCTACCCCTGGAGACTCTGCTGCATCTCGTGGACACGTTGCCAGCAGCCTGGCTGCAGTCTCTGCAGGCTGCCATCCGGGAGGACCATCGAGGGGATGTCAGGATCCAGGGGGCCATGTGGGAGAGCTTCCACCCTGAGGAGTGCTAACAGTCTCTCTCGTCTGCCCCACCGGGGGGCTTGTGCCCCATTCTTCCCTCTCCTCCTTCCACTTCCCTAGCCCCCCCTTCCTGATGACAAATAAAAGACACGTATTTTCAAAAATAACAACCCTCTTTATTCAACACAACCGGGGAGGGGGAATGAAACTGTGGGGAGACAGGGGGAAGGAGGCGGGAGAGGGCAGGAGAGAGGTTGGGGGAGGGGAGGGGGAAACCTGGGAGGAGGGAGCTGGAAGGGTGAAGCAAGGGGAAGGAGGAGAAGGGGAAACTCAAGGATCAGGAGTGGGGGTCTCGCTGGGCCAAACGCCTCCAAGCACGGCGAGGGAGGGGGCCTCAGCGTCCCCGGGGGAATGGGGTGGAGAGTGTGGAGGTTGAGGTGTTGGGTGTGGACATTGAGAAGGAGAGTGTGGGGGTTGAGGAGGAAGAAGTGGGAGGGGGCGGGAGTGGGAGGAGAGACAGTTGTTGGGGGGGGCAGCAGGG